GATAGATAGATAGATAGATAGATAGATAGATAGATATTACTGAAGGGAGAGAGAAGGAAAGATGGTGCATTGTGGATGGGATGTTGGGACCCTTAGGCCCCGTTCACACAGAGCGATTTATCGCGCAGTAATTCCTGCGATATCGCGGCTATTTACCGTGCGATATCGCTCTCCAATGCAATCCAGTGGGGCTCTGTCCGTCGCTGTCGAGGGTCGGGCGTCGCTACAGCAGGACCCTTTTTGGAGCGGATTTTGCCGCGATTCTAGCTTGCTCAATGCAAGCATTTGCGCGATATCGCTCAATGTGAATGGGGCCTTAGGGTTCCCATGTCAATGATTCAGGATTATGCTTTACGTCCAACATAACTCAGTGATTACATGGCACACTCTAATACATTTCACCTGTTGTAATAATGTTAAAGTTGCAATGTAAAACTATATCTATAATGAAATCTACAATGCGATACAAGCTCTTGCTGGATCATATCTGTACAAATGCTCCTCTCAGATGTTTTTCTCCTGTTGGGAAACATACACATGTTCTCCATTGGAGGTACTCATTACAGCCATAATCAGAGTGTACTTCCTTTGAGGATCCATTATCCTTTAATACATACTTCCTTTCTGTGTCCTTGTTTTCAATTAAGAGTCAAGCATGTATATATCACTTTTATGTAAATACAACAGAGTAGATAAAGATGGGGGTAAACTGGGGCCCCATTGTCTGACTACTGCAGGCCCTCTAACATTTCCCAGTTGTATATTTCTACCTTTTATTATTCCATAAACATATGGACCCTCTAGGCTCTCGCCAGACCTTTCATATCAACAATAATGATTCCCATAAGATTATATATGCATTCATTTTATTTTATTGCATGTTGTATACTTGTAAAAACCTACCTTGGGTAGACATTCAAAAGCCCTGAGACATTCAAAAGCAGCTGAGTGTCACCATCTTGGATGTCATTTCTTCAGCCCCCACAAACTCAAAACTTCACTCAAATTACAATTTATAGTATTCCCCTTTACTCCTCACCTGGGAGCTACATAAAAAGTTATGTAGAGACGTAAGGGGAGGGGTGGAGAGGGCTATGACGTGCAAAGGAAGAAGGGGGCTGTGCTAGGGGATTTACTCTCTAGGAGAGGTCTAATTTTTCAGCACTTTCAAAGTTACATTGCAAAAATAATCTAGTGACAGTGACTCTTTCAATAAACTTTTTGGGACACTGAGAGATGTTCAAGCGTAGAATATTTTTTACTGTATGGTGGGTCATGGTGGAGATATCATGCTGCTGCTGTAATGGTGCAGTTTTTATGGGGCAGAGAGATTCCGGTGGCCCTTAAAAATAATGGACCCTTGGCAATTGCCCAGTTTGGCCCCCTTAAACGCCAGCCCTGTAGGAGAGTTAGTGCTTAGTTCCCAGACTCTTGGACACTCAGGTACTAAGCAGGCATGCAGAGGTGTAACAAATTGTGCCCCTGGTGTCCTACCCAGGTTCTGCCAAACAGTGACATCACTGGTTGCCAGGAACTGGGCAGGATGCCGGCCAGTTTGTCCCAGGTTGCTAAGAGCTGTTTGAGGAGATGTTTAAGGGCCATACCCATCTCCAGAGCCAGCTCTTTGCAACCTGGGAGGCTCTGCCCAAAATCCCACCTGCATACACATCCTCATGCCCCCTCTGGTGCATCCAGTGCATATGCCATACCCTGGATATGCCACTGCAGGCATTGTCTGTATGCTTTTGATTGGTGAAACCAATATATGAAATTGACCCAGTCAGTTACTAAGTCAATTATTAAGTTCTCTTGCTGTGTACATAACTCTATTTCTTTTCAGGAGAGCGCCTCCTGGCAAGTGTCGTTATAAACCTACTCCAATAGGGACCAGAAGTAAAGTCGTCCCATTTGTTCCACGTGAACGTAAGTAGATATGAATACCCAGTTCTGTTATTCATATGATCACCAGCTGATCCATCCACTTATATGAATACCAATTAACATTACATTTATTTTTACCAAACGGAAGGAAAAGATTAAAAACAGTGATATGCTTGGGAGATGCTAAAAAACGCTACATCAAGTTGCAGAGAAGTACAATGTACCCCTTTAAAGTAGAACTTCAGGGAAAATTCTCCTTAACCCTTGTAGAGGGGCTACCCTTGCACCGCAAGGGTTAAGTGCCCATGATTGTATAGGTTTAGAAATCACAAAGTTATACTCACCAGATTCTCTGAGCCGGCTTGCTCTTAGACCAGTCCCTGGATGCTCGCACCCCCACCCCACCTGTTATCCTTGCCAGCATGTTTACAGACAGAAGCTGGACGATGATCCTGTCATGTCAATGACAAGACAGAATTCCGGTTCGGACAGGTGAACTGGCCAAATTTGACTAGTTTATATGCCCATTCGATGAACTTGGCTTGGTCCGGGTCAAACACGTTCAACCTGTACCCCATGCTTATCCCAAACACAGAGAAAATTCACATCCAGCACCCCTCCTGTTTGGAGGGTAGATAATTCAGTGCTCATTTCATACATTATAGGTTTTGCTAGTCATCCATGTTTCTCTTCAGTTACATTATCATAAAATTCATTGTGTCATGCCTATATGTATATTTAATCCACCTCAGGTATATTAAGTAAGTTTGTTTGCATTATATAGATGTCAACAAGAAACACCAGATGGACTGTGATCCAATAACTCTTTCTTCGACCTACATTTATATAGTGCACATACTGTATACAGATATCTAAATTTTAGTCCCTCAACAGCTCATAGTACGTTTGTTCAGACTAATGGTTTCCTGCATTTCCTTATAGCCATGTTCTCATTAGCATAGACACACTTGCCCAACTCCTTGTACACAGGGATCTTTTGCCATACAAATCTTGCAAATCTTGCCAAATGCTTTAGTTTTCCTTTGTTAAGCATGGAGCGGTCTAATTTGGGCCCATGACAGAATGCACTCACAATATGTCTTCAATCTTTCATGTTGAATTGAGAACATCTTGTGGCAGAGACCAGAGTTGGGCTTTATAGAAGACAGCACAGTAGTGTTTTAAATAATATTATTAATAATAATGAAAATTAAATTAGCCAGTACTTAAAACCCTGAACATAGCATTTATTTGAATATTGTACCAAAATAAAAGCCTTTTTTTGTCCTGATTTAGATGATTTAGGTAGGAAAGTTAGGTGAATCTTCCTTATGCATTGTTTTAAATGCTAGTGACTGCTTCACCACCAGGCAGGGCCATCTTTAACGCAGGGCAAAAGGGGCAGCTGCCCAGGGCCCAGTCATTGTTGTGGGGCCCAAAGCAGCTGCCCCTTGAGCAGATCCTGCGCTTCAAAACTCCTACCACTGGCCCTGCATCTCAGCACTGACAGCAGAGTGATGGATGATCGCAGCGCAGATGACACAGAGAGAAGAGCTGGGTGGATTCCCTCCCCCTTCAAGCTGTGTATATGTGTGTGCTGGAGGAGGCGGCTCTGCTATGACCTGGACACCTGTTCACTGGGTGAGAGGACTACAGCCTGAATCAGGGCATCATGAACAGTGGGTGTCTGATGGGGAGGCCCTGCGTGTCTGTACTGGCTGCTGCATGCTGCATGTGTAAATTAGGAAACATTGAATGTCCAGAGAGAGGGGTCACTACATGCTGCCTGTCTGCATGTGATGGGGGTCACTACATGCTGCTTGTCTGTATGTGATGGGGTCACTATACATGAGGGCGCCGGGGGGAAGATGGGGTGAAAAATGTACATAAAATGTACCGCCTCTGCCCTTGAGCCCATAAAAGATACACCCGCGCCACTCTTCTGTTTATTGTGCGATCGGTATTTCATAGTGTTGCTCTGCCCCTGTCGTATAGGCATATGCATAAGCAAAATTGCATGGTGGGGGCGGGGGTGTTTTCTGTGGGTGGGATGTTAGGGGTCGGGGTGGGTTGGAGTGGGGGGCCCAAGAAAATGTTTGCCCAGGGTCAAATCAGTATTAAAGACGGCCCTGCCACCAGGGAATGTTTGGTGAAAGTAACATTCACTACTTTATAGATATGTCCCATACTGTTGCTGCTTATATTGGCCTTGGCATCTAGGGATCAAAGACATCTGGCTAAAAAAGGGATTGTTATGTTTGTGGTCGTGTATATACCAACAAACTATACGGTTAGAATATTCTGCCTGAGGTGTGCCATGGCCAGGCCGTATAGGTAAGCCTAGAAGGGGGCATACCCTTATCAAATAATTAGGATATGGTGGTAAGGATGAAAAAGGGGATGGGTGGGAGGGCCAGCAAATGCAAACGTTACCCAGGTGAGGAGATGAGGGTTTTTTAAGTGTATAGGCCACTCCCACAAATCCAGGTTAATAAATTAACCTTATCCATTAACGTTGATTAAATGGTCTTGTGTTCTCTTTCAGGGACCGTTCTTGAAATTCTTAGTGAAGAATTAGAAACACAGAAGAAACCAATCAAAAAGCCCACCAAGCCCCCCAGGGCTCCACGTGCAACTAAACCTCCCATCAAACGGACTACTACCAAGAAACCTTTTACAACAACAACTGTTATGCCCACCAAGCAAACAAAGGCATCTACAGAACTCTCGGTCACAGAGTGTGACCCAACTGAAAGGACAAACATTTCAACTGTCATTACCACCCAAACCCCACTGAAAACTCAGACGCCGACAAGGCCCACAAAAGCTACCATTGCTGCAACATCACCATCTAAAGATAAAAAGAAGGTGATTATGTCAAATGGTAAACAGCCGCCTAAGCCTCCCAGGCCTCCACGTACAACTAAACCTCCCATCAAACGGACTACTACCAAGAAACCTTTCATTACAACAACAAGTGTAGGACTCACCAAGCAAACCAGGGCACCCTCAGAACCCGCTGTCACAGAGTGGGAACCAACTGAATGGACAAATATTTCAGCTGTCATTATCACCCAAACCACGTTGACAACTCAGACGCCGATAAGGCCTACAAAAGCTACCATTGCTACAACATCACCAACTAAAGATAAAAAGAAGGTGGTAAAGCCAAATGGTAAACAGCCCCCCAAGCCTCCACGTACAACTAAACCTCCCATCAAACGGACTACTACCATGAAACCTTTCATTACAACAAGTGTAGGACTCACCATGCAAACCAGGGCACATACAGAACACACTATTACAGAGTGGGAACCAACTGAATGGACAAATATTTCAACTGTCATTACCACCCAAACCCCGTCGACAACTAAGACGTCGATAAGGCCTACAAAAGCCACCATTGCTACAACATCACCAACTAAAGATAAAAAGAAGGTGGTAAAGCCAAATGGTAAACAGCCTTTACCTACCAAAAGCACAAAGAAGCCGGTAAACAATATACTTAAAAAACCATCACCACCTAAACTTTTACCAAGGCCAACCAAGGCTAGTGTACGTAAACTTCCACCCACCAAACTGGCACCTACTAAGAGGCCGGCAAAGGATAAGCTTAGAAAACCACCACCAACAAAACGTCCTAAGAAGCCAACTGAGGGTCAAGTCACTTATATGCCCTTTACTGAGGCTACAATGAAGAATCCACCTACAACAGGACATACAAACATCCCTAGTGAGAGAAATTTTAAAATGCCTGTATCTACTAAGGTTCCAAAGAAGCCAACTTCAGGTAAACCTCCAAAAAATAAGACAAAAGACAAAAAAACAAAAAAGCCTGAGGTTATTTTCAACAACAATGGACATAAAACAGGGAAATCCAAAGATTTAAAAGATAAGACCAAAAGCCACAAAAAGAAACCCAGACCGGAGTCTTTGGAGGACATCAACATGGCCTTTTCATTGGGAAGAAAGGCAAATAAACAAAACTCAAATACACAATCTGACTGAAACCTTAATTTACTCAAATCAAAAATAACACAGTGATTTGCCCATTAAAAGATTTAAAAAACATAGCCAGTGTTTCTGCAATATTCACCTTCAATCCAGAGACTTCCCCCACAGTACCTTTCTGCTGCTAGATGTCCTCAGTTTGATGGCCAACATCATTCAACCCACTTCCTCTGAGCCCGGGTTGTCGTGGATGCACCCCAGCCTGTGATTGGACAGTGAAAGAAGAAGCAGCACTGATGAGCTCATCTCTCTGTCACTCTGCTCTCTCTCCTGTTAGCATACTTCTTGTTAGCGCATGAACTGATTGACCTTTGTGCTGCTTCTTCCTCACACACTGCAGTCCTGCTGTAAAGGGACTGGAAGAGGCTGATGCGCAGTCAAACAGTGGGATGAGTAAGCCAGTCTAAACTTCTCTTTTCACCTCGCTACAGACTCAATGTCTACCTAGTGTTTTCAAGGTGCTCCCAAGAAATTTTAACATGTGCCCTGCCAAAGTAGCTCCTGCAAGCTGGACCATAGCTACAAAAGAAAACTCTTAGGTGATCTCATACCCACAGAAAGCCAGTGACTGCTGATTAGGCAACTGCATTGAGCATATGGATAGTATATATTAGAGTCTGGCAGAGGGTCTGACCCTGCAGTTGTAAGTAGACTTTTGCTTTGAATGAAATATGTGCTGCTATAACTTGTCTTGCAATCAATTTAATTTTTGCTTCATCATTTATACATGCAGATAATCTGTATTATTTTTATATTACTCTAAAGTGCATATTTAGTAACAATGCACCCTGTTGCCTTCTAACTATGGAAGACACATAAGTCTTAGTCATGCTTGCCATCCAGAGGCAGCAGTAGGCTGGCATATTTGGTGAACTGGACATCCTGTATATCATGTGATCTAGCTGCTATGTATATGACTCTTGTGTTCCTTACTGTCCAGATTCGCAAATATTACAAAATGCCTTTGAGGTCCTTGCATGAGGCCAAAAAGTTAAAGCAGACCTTGCAGTAAAAGGTGCAAGCAAGGTTTGCTTATACTGTTCGGGTCCCCTGCTCCTGTAAAAATCACCTACTCATAGTAGTTGTAAAAGATATCCATAAAGAAAAAAGTTAGATTTCTGCTTACCTTAACCACGTCTTCTGCCCACGGCGCCTACGTGAGGTGACATCATCTTCTTGGCTAGATCCTGGGGAATACAGAACAGTCAAAATCTCCTGAATAGACTCTCTTGCAAGAATCTTCCTGAAAGGACAGAGACATCCTGCCCAGTGATGTGTAAGGTAGGTATAAAACGTAACTGTTTTCTTTACAGGTAACTCTTACAGTATACCTGCTAATAGCAGATGATTTTTACAGGGGATGGGGACGCAGACAGACATTGTACTGCAAGATCCACTTGGTTTCTTAAAATAGCTAAATGTTTCAGGGTTTTCCATTGCTCCATGAAAAATAGCAATCACAATTTTGAATAATGAAAAATTGAGTGATATTGCAATTGTTTTGTTGGGGGGGATGATTATAATTGCTGTCACTTGACTACAAAAATTCTGACTGACACCTTTACTTACTCTAATGCATTCTATCTCACCCCTCTCTTTGTCTTAATCTTTGCTCTTTTTCCCATTTCACTCTTTCTCCCACCTTCTCTTTTCTCTGGCATCTTTGTTTATCTCTCACAGCCAGAAATGATGAATCTCTGTGCGTCATCCCAGAGTAGCCCCTACAACTGAGTTCTGCGCTCCCCCGAGTGACTTTATCCCTGGCTGTCTTCTCCTGGTCGTCTTCTGAATCCAGTGTCTTCCTTTTTGGCCATTGGGTAGCCACTGATGATGTAATTCCAATGCATCATCCGATGCAGGTGGTTAAATTGCCCTGACACCTATTCTTGTCATCTTAACAGCTGCTTAGAGTTGGCCAGGAATGTAAATTGAATAGCAGACGGGCACAGGTTTCATAGAAGCCATCTATGAAGTTGGTAAAAGTTGGTCACTATGTGCCGTCAGGATAAAAGTTCTTTCCCCAGATCATTTTATAAATAAGACAGTTGGGAATTTTTTTAAAAGCAAAAAATCTTTTTCACCTGAAAAATCAGAAATACAAAATAAATGATTCCATGTGATCGGTGAATCGGGGGTTAGCTGCTGAGCGTGTCCACATTTGGATGTCCATTTCTCGATTTGACTGTTACCGACAAGGTTGGCCATTGGTGATGTCATGTCTGAGTACAGTCCAATGTCCTTCTCTCTCTCTCTCTCTCTCTCGCTCTCTTCATCTCCATTCACTCTGCTCCCCCTGTCTCCTGAGTATCACCCAACATTGTTGATATTAAATGCAAGCTTAGATTTGATTATATTGCTTGTTGATTCCATAAAATAAAGCTTTGGACTTTTTTCCCTACTTGTGTCCTGTGTTTTTTTTTCCAGGTAATTGCCCAGAGTTGCTTAGAGTGTCCTATGTGGATGTGTAGCATCAATTATTTTCAGTTCATGATAACCATCTAATCAGCATATTTAATTCATAAACATAAATATACCATAGGTGTGGATTCAAACTTTTTCACATGAAATATGTATTTAAAGCCAAAACGTTTTAAAACATTTTAATTTAATTTAGTTTTGCCAAACACCACTGAATCACAAATAATCTTTTGCTGCCACCTGATGATCTAATTTATGAACTACAACATGGATGTATTAGGCTTCCATACTTTCATATGTCAAAAGCAACCAGAAGCTAATGCAGCAGATCAGTGAGCAAAAATACAAGTTAGAGAGGAATTGAATTCTGTTAGGTGTTATCAAAAAAGGCACAATGAAGGGAGAGTCACCAGAAATGCCTGTGGTCTCCCCGCAGTTGATCTTTTTTACAGACTTACCATGCCGTATTCTGCACTGTTTCTCTGCCTGGAGGTGGCCATCTTGGTAGAGGCAGGGCGTTGCTTCCCCATGTTAGGGCCTCCAGCAAGGTGAACAGCAGCACAGTAGTGACATCACCAAATGTCACTCCAAATCTCCTGAGACTAGCAGTCAGAGGCAAAAGTGTCTTAAGGTCATCATACCTGTCGCAATCTTACTGCGCAATCTTTGTAAAATGAATTAAACATTTACCAAGGAGATTGTACAGTCAGTTTCTAATGTGTATGGCGAGCTTTAGATTTCACATTGCAGATATACAGCCAAGAGGCTGAAGGCACAAGATTGCCTAGGCACCTTCACATACCAGGAATGTGAGGGTGGCTAAGCACCCTGTGTGATATCTGTGTGAGAACTAGTATTTTTCAGGACATATTCCAGACAAAAGGTACATTTTCCAGGGTAATACTTAGGCACAATTAATATTTCTAAATGTTCCCTATAACATAGCAAACCTTCACATTTTGAATTCAGTTCCTGTTGAGGTTCAGGCATCTGATAGGGCACCAACTGCCAAACAGTAGCAGAAATGTAGCGTTTTATTTTTCCCCAAATTTTTAGCAGAACCTGTGTTAAAAAAAAAAGGCAAGTAGAAGGCAAAGGACTAGTCACCAGTATTCCCTGTAGGCCCTCTGCAGCTGATCTTTTGCTCACTACTGACTTACCATGCCTTGGCTCTATGTGTGGAGGTGGCTAACATGGTAGAGTTGCACAGCTTTGCTTTTTATTGTCACAGCTGCCCCCCTGATGACTGGTGATCTCATGACTGGTGGGGTAATATTTAAGAAGCAGTAGCAGAGGTGGAGCATGCACCACAGAAAGATTGAAATGGAAGCATGGAGATCCTTACACTGAAGGTCCTCAGGTACAGCTTCCTCTCCAGCAAGGATAGCAGTTAACAACACAGTAGTGATATCATCAGATCTACTCAGACTAGCAGTCAGAGGCAGCAGGGCCTTAGATCTCACACTGCACATTTACAGCTTATGCTCAGGCCCGGCGCTACCGCAAGGCAAGTCAGGCGGCCGCCTGAGGGCGCTGCAGGGTGAGGGCGGAAAAAACAGGGCATTTTGACAAGTACTTGTACCTGTCAAAATGCCCCGATGTTTGCACTATGTTTTTTTTTCACTTACCTTCGGTACGGGAGAGCAGCGGTGAGTCAGCGCTGGTCCAGTGGGAGGAGCTCCAGGTGAGGTCCTAATTTAGCTGGCCGGCGACTGCCTAAGGTGCCGGGATCCTCTGGCAGTCTCTGGCCAGCTAAATTAGGACCCCACCTGGAGCTCCTCCCAC